GGGGGGGGGGGGGGGGAATTCTGGGAGTTGAAGTCCACTCATCTTAAAGTGGCCAAGTTTGGACAACACTGACCTAAGGGAAGTCATATTCTCTTCTATTGGAATCATATTACACACTCCACACATATGAGAATAATGCTTACTTACTTTTACAGAGTTAACATTTGTGAATGGATTTTTTAAAATACACAAGTGTATATTACACACACACACCAGCCAGTGGACATAGCGCTCTTTCCGTTCCATTTATGACATATAGCTTTCTTATGCTACAGTGACCACTGTACTTGCGAAGGTTATTTTTTTTTAGTCAGTTCATTCTTGACAGCTTTTTAAAATTCCACTGGTTTGTGAGTCCCAGCCAGTTTCTTTTTGGAGGTCAGCCTAGTAAACAAAACGAGACGCCTTGTGTGCAGCGTATCTCTACAGTAGATCTATTACACAAGAGAATGGCTTAGTTATTCAAGGACAAGTGAGTTTCATCCTCCATGGTAACCCTGAATTCGGCATACACCTCTTGAGGGTGAGGCTCCTTCAACCACGTCAGGTTGACTGCAGATATTTCGCAACCGAAGGAGCCGATTTTATAGCACCCACAGAGGCTGCCAACAAATGCGTTTTCGTCCTTGTCGAAAACTAGAGCCAGCTTGGGTGCTTCGATCTGATCAATCGGCAGACGATTAGTAGTTAAGAAGTTTTAGATGCCCTCAAAGGCCCTGTCCCAAAAGCAAACAAATGAGGTCAAGCTATCTATAGTTGCATGGCTATTTACTCTCACCGCCTACTTCAGGCAACTAATTGGGATTCAATGAGTTACTCCTTATCGGCGGATTGGGTTTGGTAATCACGAGTCTCTCACTTTTATAGCCTTCTGCCCACAAACTTGGGAGTCCTCTCATTTGAATTGATCCTGACCTGGGCTATTCACTGAATCCCGAGTATTTTGATTTTTTCCGATTGCCTGAACCGGTTATCGCCTCGTTTTGTAGCCCCTTGACCCTGGCCGTCAATGAAACGTTGTATGTATCACGTTCCGGATGAGAGAGAAAGGGAGAGTGTTTTAGCCCTATGACTAAAACCAGTCAAATCAAATCTCACCCCCGTCAGATAATGCGCTTTTGATTTTAGCAACCGGGAATTTCCAAGCCTTTAGCGACGGCGGTCGAAGGCGGAGCTGCCACAACAGCAACCAGCGGCCAAAGTTGCATCACGGCCAGGTTTCAAAACTACAATTCCTAGGATGCTGCGCGAACGGCGAGCGCTGCTCACGTATATAATAAGTGGGCGGGGCCGCGCTTGACGCGTCTCCGAATAGCGATCTGGAGGCGGAGCCAAAGAGGAGTGGGGGATGGGGTGTTCGGTCCGTCTTTCCCCTGTTCTGTCCCCTTTTCTCCGCTCGGCGCAGACGCCATGTTGGCTGAAAGGGAAGATGACAAGAGGCGGCTGAAGGAGTAGCGGCGGCGGCGGCAGGCGGTGAAGGGTACCGAGGAGCAGCCTGCATTGGGGAAAGCTGTTCCCAGCCCTTTTTCGTTCGACCGGCGCTCTGGCCGGCGAAAGGAGGAGTTGCTCCTCCGTCTCAGCTGCGGGGGGCTTCCGTTAACCGTCTGCTGCTGAGGGAGACCCCGGAGGAGGAGGAGGAGGAGGAGGAGGAAGAGACGGAGGAGGGACTGTGGAGAAACGAGCCGGCGGCGGCGATGAAAGCCGAGACCTGAGGCGGAGGGGCGGCGAGGGCTGCTGCTCCTGCTGCGAGAGGCAACTGCAGTTTAAATCCCCCCTTGAGCTGCTGCTGCTGCAGTTTGAGGGGGGAGGGTAACATTTCTTTGTCCCTTCCCCTCCCTCTTTCCCGGCTCATTTTAATACATATATTTTAACTCAGTGTTGTAAATGCTGTAGGAAGCGCCTTTCCAAGGAAGAGAAGCCCCCAGCCCACTTTCACTTACTGAGAATCGGGCAAGAGCCCCCCCCCCAAGAACTTTGGCCTCAGGGAAAGAGGACGGTCGCTTGCTTTACTTCATTGAGTGCCTGTCGCTTTTTTTTTTCTTTTTAATGAGGAGGTGACTCGGACCCAGAACTATCTTCTGAATCATCTTCGTCATTCATTATTGGTCTAGGCTGGAGAGGAAGAGCAGGAGAGGAAGAAAAACGCTCGTACACAATTCATGTTGTTGTATGTTTTTGCCCGGTCTATCTGGCACAACTGGTGTTGGTGTTGCTGCTGACAAGAATCCGAGTCTCTGTTTTCCCTGTGATTTCCTCTCTGATCCAGCCTTTTAACACCAATTGGATTCTTTTTCATCCCCATTTCTCAGTTTCCTTGCTGTGGGTCAGGTGCTTTTACTGGAGGAAGAAAACGCACAGAACTTACCAGGATCAAACCAAAGATTGGTTAGCTGGAAGATCTTTTTCCTGTGTTGTCTTGGCTGGTTTTTAGATTTTTTTTCTTCTGTGTTTCTTGAAACTAACAGCATAGTATCAAGATGTCTAGCAGTGTTCCATCTGATATGGTAAGTTCACATTTGACTTTATTTCCAGAAATACAACGAGCTGACTTCCAGAAGGGGGGCCTGTTGGTTTCTGTTACAGCAAGAAGTGTTTTGGTATATCAAAGGCCAGATTATTATGGTATAACCTTTTGTGGGCCAGAATCCACTTAACATTTATTAAGTTTATTCATAGCCTTTTCTCCAGGAGCTCAAGATTGCTTATACAGGGGTTTCCCTTAATTTTATTTTCATTTATTCCTACAACAACAATCCTGTGACATAGGTTGGGTTGAGAGTGAATAACTGGCTCAGAGTTACTCAGTGAATTTCCTTTGGTGAGGGTGGACTTGAATCTGGATCTCCCCAGTTCTGTACTACACTGGTTCTTCCTACCAGACCTGAAAGGAAGAAGCATCCCACCTTTTGTGTAGTAGAATTAATCATCTGCTTTGTTTTATTATTTAACTTTTTATAAATATTTGAAATTTAACTTGAGCAGAAGTATAAATGAAACAAAATTATATTTTCATTAGACTTATTCTATCTGAATATTTTATTAGCTTTCTTTCCTGTTACAATTTTATTATTTGAATCCAATTAAAGAGTACTTAATAACCTCAAATGGTCTAGAAAGCTATAATTTAATAACAGTATATTGGGTGCAACATAAACATTCTAGACACTCTTCTCTTGAGCCACATCTTTCTGAGATAGTGTTAGATATGTCATGCTAGTAAAGTGCTGAATTAGTGATCAGAGTATATTTGAAATCTGCACAAATGGAAGCAAAAGCATATGCTTGAGAGAGTACCACCTACAGGTATTCTTATGAACAAACATGTCTGAATCTGAATTGTTTCTAAACTTTGAGATATAATTTACTTGGTTCCTTTTTGGAACGAAAGAAATATTTTTGGTTTTCATATTTAAAACATACAGTAATATGTTTTTACTGCTTATGTGGTTCTCTTTAAAAATAAATGGCAATTGCTTTGGGGCATTAGTATGCTGTTCCTGCTTTGTACATCTATACGAATCCCAGCTTTCAAAGCTGCAGTTCATGCTTGGTAGGAGATTGTTTTTGACTCTCCATAACAGGAAAACAGTAATTTGTGACCAAGTCACTACTATAATAAAGGTTGCACCACAGCTTCAAACTTCTGCTCAAAGTGTCTGGGCAAAGCATTAGAGAAAAAGGACTGAAAACAATGTTGATTTCAACTTCAAATTGTTTTTATTTGATTTTCTTTGTAACACTGTGGAATCTTCTCATCTTTCATTATAGTATTCTACATTTTTTCTAACAACCCTTCTTGAAACTATGAGATGCTTTTGAAAAATACCCCCTATAAGATAATAAAATAGATAGCAGTAAACTCAGCGTTATCCATTGGTAGTTCGATACTTTTGAGATTATGTTATGCTGGGATTTAATTCTGAATGAATGTCAATTATTGTATGAGAAGCACCATTTAATAGGATAATTAAAACATATTCTTCTGTATAATGTGGGGGTGTGCACAGAATGGAAAATGTGTTTTGTTTCAAACCCAAAGCAAACCCCTCATTCTGGATGCTTTGGCAAGCCTTTATGGATCGGCTGCTGTTTGGCAGAAACAAAACTTGGAATGTTTTTGTTCTGTGCTTCAGCTGAAACCAGTCCTACAGCAGTCCCAGAGTGATTTTTGCAGGATAGATAGAGCAAAGCTGGTGTCCATTGGCCCCTTTCTCCCCTCCTTCTGAAACAAGGATACATTGTGTCACTCTTGCCTCCTCATGGCTTGTGCACCCACTAACAAATGGTCTCAGTTTCCATAGGCTTGTCTTTTCACTCTTGTTCTTCCTGATATCTTTTCCTCTTCTGCCATCTCTCAGCTGCCATCACTAAATAAGCCCCTCAGCCTTGGCATTTTCCCCCACATTTCCCCCACTGAAACTGTTCAGCCTGTAACATTTCATTCTGTATCTGGAACAAAATAGCCTGCTTCATTCCATATCCAGACCAAACACACATGTTTTATATTGGTTATAAGCCAGCCAAAATCATCTGTTCTGTGCATGAAACTACATGTTTTGCAAATTCTTAAATGTTATAATTGAAATGGGGAACTTAAAAAAGTGCTTCACTTTGAATGAACCTTCATTAAAATATACTAGAAATATATTCTGCTTGGTTGTCTTTTGCTCTGTCTGCTCTGAGCATCCAGGATGGGCTTTATATAAAGCAAATCAATGGCCATGTTAGCCATTGCAATGAGTGTTATAGATTGCTTATGTGAATATATTGCACTTTTTGGTTCTCTGCATAAAATGCTTTCTGTTTTTGAAGTAGTTAGCTTGACTTCTGCAATTATATTTATAACCATGTAGTGGTGTACATAACTGGCTCTTAAAATTACAAATGTAAGGCTACAGAATGCTTAGGAATTGTCCAGACATGATTTGGAAAGAATATTCATTGCCCCTTGTAATTTAAATTATAAAAACCTTAATAGGAGAAGTTCCTACTGAAACAATTGGCTCTTAAGCTGATTGTGTCCAAGAATTATATGTATTTGGGTATAGTTGGCATTTCTGTACTTCATTCTGTGGAGCACCATCATCTTACATTCAGAAAACTAGTTCTACAAAATGTTACTGTTTTTTTATATTAACAAAGTTTGCTTACACAATACATTTTACAAAATAGTCTCAAATAACTTTATTAGATTTTAAGATAAAGATAATAACTAACAAAAACTAATATTAAAGATAAAGAAGGAAAAAAGGAAAGAATAAGAAAAAAGAATAAAATCAAAAGTACAGAAAGAAAGGAAAAAAGAAAAAATACAAAAAAGAATGACTTCCTACTTTCCTCACAACTGATATAAGTAACAATTTACACTAAACTCTTACTCTAAGTTTACAACATAACTTTCATTATTATTTCTATTGCCCACTATTGATTCTAATCATCAAATCCATCCAACATAATTTCATTTTTTTCTGTTTCACATAAAAAGTCCAAAAAAGGCTTTCAATTAGCATTAGAATTACTCAATGTATTTTCTCTAATCAAAGCTGTCAGCTTTGCCATCTCTGCCCACTTCATCCACTTCACCATGCATTTTTCTATTGTAGGTAATGCCAAGTGTTTCCACCTTTGTGCATATAAAAGCCTTGCTGCTGTTATCTTATATAAAAACAAAGTTCTGTTAGTTTTTTTCCCCAGTTGTTTGTCCATCAAACCCAAAAGAAAAGTCTCTGGTTTTGATTGTATATTTATCTTTAAAATCTTCTCAATTAAGGTATGTATTTCATTCCAAATTTTTTTAGCTTTTTTACAAATTCACCAGAGATGATAAAAAGTCCCCTCTTGTTCACATTTCCAACATATATTCAAAGTACCTTTATCCATTTTAGGTAATTTTTCTGGTGACAAGTATCAATGATACATCATTTTATAAAAAAATTCTTTAAGATTATAACACAATGTAAATGTTGGTATTCTCATCCACATTATTCCATTGGTATATTATACCCAAAGCTCCTAGCCCATTTTATCATATATTCTTTGACTTTTTCATCTTCTTTTTCTAACTTAAATAAAAGTTTATATATTAGCAATAACATGTTCACCATTAGTACATAATTCTACTTCAAATTCAGTCTTACCATGTTTAAAGCCAAAAAACTCTATTTTAAATCTTTCTTGTACATATGAAAACCATTGACATGTATAACCTTTTGTAGTGAGATTCCCTTCTTGTCTTTAATTCAAAGTCTCCTTGAGAAAATTCTAATACATCACCATATGTTAACCATTTATGCTTAATTATAATTTCTTTTCTATAAAAAGCTTCTTGTGGTAACAACCATAAAGGAACCTTTGGGGGCAACCTAGTTTTATTATTTTCTCAGTAAGGCACATCTAATAAAGTGATCTTTAAAATCTACATTAATCTTAACTTTGTCATACCATAAATAACCATGCCACCCAAATCTTAAATCATGCCCTTCTAGTTCTAATAACCTCCTGTTTCTCAAAATCACCCAATCTTTCATCCAAACTAAACAACAAGCTGCAAAATATAATTTCAAATCCGGTAGACCTAAACCACCTCTTTCTTTAGCATCTTGTAAAACTTTGTACTTAATTTGCAGTTTTTTTACCTTGGCACACAAATTTAGATATATCTTCATGCCATTGTTTAAATGGAACATCAGTAGTCACAAGAGTATTTTACAACATTTTACATTTTACAAAATAGTTGCACCTTTTTTTTTTTTAAGTTTTCCAGCCCTGTATAAGAGGCTTGAATATAATCTTATTAACAACACTGGAGTAAAGCATGATATGCTAATGCCATCATACTAATAACCATGATATCATGGAATTGGAAGCTGTTGAAGAACTTGCAATCAGGACAACTAAGACTAGCAGCTGATTCTACTTCTAAACGTACCTCTTAATCAGAATAAAACTTTGTCTTGACAGAACAGTGGGATAAGGGGCTACCCATTACCCACAAATGTCCATTAAATCTGAAAGTAAATCATTTGCAGTCATATAGTCTTTATGTAACAATGCCATTATGCAAATGATAACATAAGTTGATGCATGGCACATAAATACAACAAAATAATGTAAATTTAAATGCTTTATTTAGATTTCTTCAGTTGGAGTAGATTTGTTCTTTTGTATGTTGTAAGGATGTCAGGATGAAAATTTTGTCCCTTGCATCCAAGGTTTACTAAATGGAGGCGGAGAGATTACAGGTAGTCCTTGGTTTACGATGGCAATTGGGACTGGAGCAGTGTGGTAGTAAAATGTGACATCATGTGACTGCATTGTTTAGTGAAGGCAATCCTGGTTGCCATTGTTAAGTGCGAACCACATGGGTCATTAAGCGAGGACCTCACAGGACCACAACTTCCGATTTCCTGCCAGCTTTCCTATTGACTTTGCTTGTGGGAAGCTCGCAGAGAATGTCTGTAATTGCGATCATGTGACCATGGCTCGCTGTGACATTGTCATCACA